TCATATAATCTTTAATATCATTAGATTGGCTTCCAAATTTGAACTTTGTGGTGCCTGGGGATAGCCTTTAAAAATACTTTCTGTTTTTTATACCAGCACATCATACACAATTTAATGAGGCAAGTTCATCGGCTGGGAGGAGAGGGTGACAATCACTTACTCGGAAAGCAACATGGAAATGGCCAGACATGGAAATGGACGGTGACAAGCTGAAGAAATTCTCGCACGATTCCATCTTAGAAAGCAATAAAACTATGTAACATTATGGTACAAAAATATCTTGGAATGTCCATGCCCAATAATTGCTTTTTTTTTTTGACAAACAATTATACAGATCTCTCAGTACTTTACATTAACCTAATAATTATTAATTTAAATAAAATATAATTTAAAATATCATAAAAATAAACACAACCTCTTCCTTCTTAATATTATATATATATATATATTTTCAAAATCTATCTATCTATAATATTATCATATTTTTTCTATTTACAAAATTACTAATTTTTTATTTATAAAGTTACTAATTTTATCATAAGATAGCTTCCACATCCATCAAAATAAATATTTTACAAGTATTAATTATTACCGATCACAACTTGCTACTACTACAATTACAAGCATCGCCTATAACCAGTCACAATCCTTATAGACTTTTTATATGATCATGGATAATGAATTAAATTACTTTAACTAAAAGATCCACTGATTATCCTTCCTCAATTATAATTTCTAATAATTGACTCTCATCCTTCCCGTTCTTTAGTACTTTTCAATGCTTTTGGTTGGAAGGATCTATTTACATCCTTCCCCTCTCTTGTTGTCAAACAACTAAATGGATGATAACTTATCTAGCATTTCTCCTCCCCCTTTTCATCCATCTCTGCTCACAAACACAGCCCAAGTGATTTAAGAGTGGTAAACAAGATGAAAACTATATGCACAAATTCTACTCTAACATCCTTTTTCATTATAAGAAACATAGCATATGGCATGGTAGGACAAACGTGAAATGAAGACAACCTCAGGTGTATGTTTTCTAATGATGTCATTATGACTGTTCAAAAGGAGAAATACAACTGGGTACTGCTGATAAGTAAGCAAAAATGTGCTTCCACATGATCCAAAAATGGATCTCAAATTCACATATTTAGAGATTTATATTAATTACGAGGATGCTGACTTCCAAGAACTCAACAAAAGATGGGATCGATCATTTTGTGTAAGAATCAGGGCCAATAGTTCTTACCGGTCTCTATGTACATTTGGAGGCCAGCATCTCCCCTCTATACATCATTCTTCTTATTTACTTTCAATTCATATTAGGTACTCGTAATACATTAAGAAAAGGGAATCGTGATAATCTTTTGGCAAGCTATTGACGTAGAGATAGAAGCGTGACAAATCCTCTTTGGAAACCGCTTTTGTGTCAACAACTTCATTGTTACAAGTGAGAACCCATAGGTCTTCCGAGTTAACTCTCTTTAAGCTGCCACGGCAAAATGGGCAGGACTCTGATCTTGTGTTCCTGCAATTATACAAAAAACCATACAAGTGAAATTAATGGCAACCCTCTTCAATATCAAGCACTCACATTGGAAAAGGGTGTTGGTATTGCATCAAGATTTCAAGGCTTGTAGTTACCAGTTGCGGTAGCATTTGATGCACATTGCATGACAACAGTTAGGCAAGACCATTTTGGTGCAGGGCTCCAAACAAATTCCACATTCATCTTCCCTCTCTAAATCAATATTGGCAAGCTTGTTATCTCCTTCCACCTTATTTTTGCACAAACTCTCCATGCCAGAATTCTCTCCCTTGACATCTTCCAACTCTTCTAAGTTACTATGAAGCCGTTGAAGAGATGGTGATATAACACCTGTTGCTCGATTTCATGAAATGAAACAAAGTCAAATAAAAACATAAAATCAGAATGGTGGGGAATTAGTTGCAGTGCATTTATATCTATGGTCTATAAATCAAGAAATGCCAAACAAAACAATCTTACATAATTTACATACCATAGAATTCCCGAATTGTTGCTTTCCTTCCGTGCTTAGATAGGCTAGGTCTACCATCGCTATATACCTGCACGATATTAAAGAGCAAACACATAAAAATTTGCCCCAAATATACAGAGCAGGATGAAAGAATTGGAAACTTCGGCAAACTATCTTTTTAGAATCAACGGACCAAAAGGAGAATTGACCTTATATAAAAGTACATGAAAGAAATTTAGATATCTAGGGAGCAGGCAAATGCATGAACAATCTATCCGTTGTAGCAAAAAGAAAAGGAGAGGTGCCCAGCGATTGTAAACTAATTTCATCTGCAGACGCGCTCCATCCTTGCCCCTTGGAATTGCAGCAGCCCTGGTACACCATCATTCACATCGTGTAACAAAATTAGCAAGACTCAGTCACGCTATCAATATTTAGACAACACTGGTCACTAGAAAAAGAACAAAACTTATAACCATTTTTTTTTCCCTGAAAACAGAGAGCAGGCATAAAGAGAGAGGGAATCCCAACTATCTCCACCTCTTAGCACTTGGAATTGCATGAAATTTTAGCCAAAGCAGCTCGCTTTAGCCGCAATTGAGTAGGCAGACATAGCAATACCAGCACCAAAATCCATTATTTATGTGTGTACATGGATATTGCAGTCTTTTTTTTGTTGAACAAATAAAACTGAAACATAAACTCCCACTAGAAAACATCCATCTACAAATTCACAAAATCTGCCAATTGCTTGGTACAAACTAAAAAATGACCATAGAAAACAAGAAGAAAAAAATCCCTATCCTCTTTTTCCTCGTATCATTTCAAAACGAACTTTTGTTGTTGTTGCTGATCATAACAAGGGATTCTTAAAATCCCAACTACAAAAAACAAAAACAACCCATGTGATCAAAAGAGGAGTTGGAAAGAAAAAAGAAAATCAAATGACTCACAAAGCATTGGCATGCTGGATGTCAGCCTCCAAGACCTTGAGGGAGTCTTGGTAAGATGAGTTGCTCAACTGATAATGCATCATCTCCATCTTTCTCAAACTCAAAGCCGAACAAAACAAGCTCAACTAGGTTTGCAGGTGTGTTAAGCAATAAAAAACAACAGAGAGAGAGAGTAGCTAAAAAGCAGAAGGGATAGGGTATGTGCCTCTAGCTTGCTTTCTCGGGGCGGCTTTGACACTGACAACCCTTGGTTTTTTTATGGTCAGAGAATACGTATGTATAATTCTGATGTGGTGGGTGGCTGCGTCTTGTTCGTTTGTTGACGATGCTCTCCTTCCCCTTTTCTTTTGTTCTTATCTAATCTTTTGCTTTTAGCTGTTGCCTTCCCTTTTATTATTTCTTTATAGCCCTGCCTTTCCTCTCTCCTCTTTCCCCTTCTGCACTTTTGGATTTTATGCTATTTTTGTAGATAAATTATTAACAAAACTATGGGGTTTTTTCCTTGCTTCTCACGGAAATATGAGAATTTTAATAAAAACAATTTACAAATATTATTTTTATAAGATAAAAAGAGGTGTAATTGTATAACTTGTTTCGTGATTATATTTTTTAAAATATTTTTTTATTAAAATAAATATTAATAATATTTTTTTATTTTCTTAAAATTATTTTTGATATTAGTACATTAAAATAATTTGAAAAAATATATTAATTTAAAGTAAATAAAAAATTATAAAATTAATTTTTTAAAAAAATATTTTTAAAATCCGAAAATAAACATGCTAAATTCTCACTCTACAATCAAATACCCTTACAAGAAGTTAATAACAAGATTTGGTAGAGATTCTTGATAGAGTATTTTTTAGGTAAACTGCCTATTATTACTTAAGTTGGGTAATTAAAAAATAATTGTTTGAGTTGGCTTTTTTATTGCCCTGTGGATTTGGTGGCAGCCTGATTTTTAATCATAGAATAGAAATCCCTTAATATATGAAGACGTCGAAGCATATCTATATAATATAATATAATATGATATGATATAATATATGGTGGCTTTAAGACGATGAAAACCCTGTTTAGTCCTCTTCTTAAACAATATAATATTCAGTGGATGAGATAAAATAATAAAAGACTATATGGAGTTATTCACACAAACACCACCTAAAACGTGGAATCCAAGCCTTAGGACAAGGTCAACTCCATTAACTTCTTGTTGAAGAGTATGTTATAAATTGTTTTTTAAAATATTTTTTATTTAAAATTATATTAAAATAATATTTATTTTTGTTTTTTATAATTTATTCTTTACTTCAAAACAATTTAAAAACAAGTAAAAAATTAATTTACAGAAAAAATTGATATAACATGCCTTTCCAAACCAAAAACATTTTCAATACATCAAAACAATTTAAAATCTCATAAAATAATTAATTAAAAAAAATGGTATAACATGCCTTTCTGAACCAAAAGCATTAATTGATGCTTTTAGTTTAGGAACGTAGTCGTGGTGTGATCATGCCCGCAATGCAAACCATATTCCTAAATCAAAAGCATCAATTGGATTTGTGCGGTTGAGCTTCAAATCACGTTTCTAAAATAGAAACATTAATTAATTAATGTTTTTGTTTTAGGAACACAGGTTGCATGTTACCTGCGCCTGAATTCCTAATAAAAAATAGTGTTTGATATTATAAAAATTATTGTTTTTAAAATATATTTTATTTAAAAATATATTCAGATAATATATATTTTAATTTTTTTTTAAATTTATTTTTAACATCAAAATACTAAATATTTTATTTAAAAATATATTTAGATAATATATATTTTATTTTTTTTTAAAATTTATTTTTAACATCAGCATACTGAAACAAAAAAAAAATAAATTTATAAAAAAAAATATATTATTATTTTTTAAAATCCCACCGCATAAACAGACACGTCTGTAAGAGTCAGAAAATTCTGCTTGGGGCACCTCACCCTCTCTCTAGCTGTCTGGTAGGGCAAGACACTTATTACCTCTTCCAGAACATCACGGTATTAAATAGGAAAGTTAGTGTTTTTGTAGGGCAGGCACCTCTCAATTGCTTTTTCTTTTTTCTCTGGTCAAAGTTCACAACCTCTCACTTTTAAATTCTATTGTATCAGTTTAATTCAGATTAAAATATGAAAAAAGAAGAGTGGATATGGTGTAAGAGTATATGTTACAGATAGAGTATATGTTACAGATAGGCGAAGGCTGATGGAAAGAAAACTATCTGGCTGCTGGGACAAGGCAACCATTAGATTGGTCAGGGCTCTCAATCTCAAGAAAGCTTGTGAGTAATGTTTTCCGGGAAGATTGTGCCTTTGAACTAGCAGATTGTAGTTTTTGGCTGCCATCAGTTCCTTTTTCAATCTTGTTAGCTTCTTGTATAGCCAAAATTATTTCATGCATCCTTGGCCGAGAAACTGCTCGTTGTTCTACGCATTGGATTGCAACTTCAGCAATCCTCCAAATGGACTCAATCTTGACATTTCCAATTAGAACAGGATCTACAATGCTCATCACATCTCCTTTACGAATCAAGGACCTTGCCTGCAGAAGATAGCAGCTCACGAGGATGATTAAGCCTTGATTTGATTTCATATGTAGTGAGCATAATAGAAATATATGGGCTTCAATTCAAGAAAGATGACTATATGCCTTTGAAGAGAATGGTGATAGCAAGAAGTGCATACCCAATGAACAATGTTCAATTCAGAACCAAAATCTTCTATTGAGACAGGTTTTTTTCCTGATACCAATTCTAAGAGAACTACTCCAAAGCTGTAGACATCACTTTTTTCAGTCAATTGCTGATTTGCATAGTACCTGAAGAAGCAGTTACACGATTGGTGAAGCACGAGCAGAAGTAGTAGAGAATGATGGGTATGCACAACTGATGAAGGTGGCTTACTCCGGATCCAGGTACCCGATTGTTCCTCGCGCCACACTTGATACATGGGTTAAATCTTCTTCAGCTTGCCTTGAGAGCCCAAAATCTGACACTTTTGCTCTCATATTGATGTCCAGGAGAATGTTGCTTGTTTTAACATCTCGGTGTATGATACCGGGGTTGCATCCGGTGTGCAAGTATTCAAGTCCTACAAACATCTAAATATGAGTTTATATTGTGAACTTGTAAACCAAATACTAATGCATCATAAACAAACCAGAAGTTCAATATTAACCTTTTGCTGCATCCTCTGCGATCTGCAAACGAGCTAGCCAATCCAAGTGCTTCTGGTTGACAGGACCTATTAGAAGGTCATCTCATTGATTTAAATGGAAATGTTTCTAATAAAGAAACAGAAGGGTGGAAAATAAAGCAATTGTAATGTGCAGATTGCAAACCATGAATGTGATCACGCAAAGTTCCATTGTGCATGTATTCATAAACCAGAATACGCTGATGTTCTTCTTCACAATATCCAAGCAGAGGAACCAAGTTCCTATGATGAATTCTTGACAAGAGGGCAACCTGCAGGTACGTTAATGTAGCTAATTAACCAGCCCTTTGAAGTTCATTATGGTTGCTTCATTTCTTGGTCTGATCTTATGCTAACTAAGTTTCCTGTTCTTTAAACCTTCAAAGTTTCAAATCTCTAACTCAAACAAATTATGTGGGGTGAACATAAAGTTACCTCAGTCACAAACTGCTGCGTCAGATGAGTGGACGAGTCAGTCATTATCTTAACTGCCACTTCTTTTCCGTCTTTCATTTGCCCATAGTAGACAGTCCCAAAACTTCCTCTGCCTATTTTCTTGGAAAAATTCTTGGTAGCTTCTTCAAGCTCAGGGAGCGGAATATAGTATGAAACTCCTTCACCCATTATATGCCAACCCCGTGCTACAGAATACGCATTCGAAGGCTTGGCACTTGCACGCAAAGAATTACCTGACAGACTCAAGAATACTTGAGAAATGCACAAAAATTTTCTATGCAACATGAAGATAACTGAGGTGTGTGTGTGTGTGTGTATATACAGACCTTGGACTTCACTTTTTTTATGAGATGTCTTTCTTTGAAGATTACGCAAGAATAGTAAACTTCCTATCACAACAACTAATAGACCTGCAAGTATGCCAATCGAAAATCCAACTATCAACTTCGAGTGCATCTTTTTTCTTGCCTCTTTGTGTAGCCCAGGATTATGTTCATAACTGCAAGAGAATAATATCGTAGCTCTTTATAAATGTTCTGAGGCATACGATTTGATGGTTCTTGTATCTTATTCTCTATACCAGTTTCCTATGGAACAAAAGCTAGGCACATCTTTTATCATCATATAAGCCAAGGGGTAAGCGATGGCATAAAACAATTCGAAATACTCACTTAAAGATAACTTTTCCAGTTAAAAATTCTGAAGGTATTTCCCCACTAAAGGAGTTGTTCTGTATGTACCTGTCACAAGGGCACTTCACAGTTAATGAGTATCATAGCAGTGTCATGGAAGCATTACCGCTAGGATCAAAAGATTAAGTGTACTTCATATTGCAATCAAGAGTCTGGTGAAGTGTGAATCATCATATATAGTGTATAGAGACAGTTAAATAAATCAAGAGTGCTACTTACAGTGCCTGTAATTTAGGCAAACTGCCAAGGTACTTGGGCAATGGACCATTCAGTTTGTTGTTCTCCAGATGCCTGGATGACCATTGAATAAAGCAGGCAAGGACTAGTCAGTTGTTCTACATCTAAATTTGCAGAAACATGCACTAGTAGAAACTGCAGTTTTAGGATAGACTGATGGAATGTAAAGCATGAATTTCAAAGCTTACACAATTTTCAAATTAACGAGATTGCTTATGCCAGGGATAGGCCCTGTAAGGAAGTTACCATCCAACCACCTAAGAAAAAAGAAAAGGATTAAGATGGATCATAATATGAAGTAGTACAACTCAACTATTGCACAACATCACTTACAACTCTGTCAATTGCTCCATGTTGTTAATCTCAGGTGGAATCTCTCCTTTCAGGTTCTTTCCTGACAATGCACTGTTCAGCAGGTCAGCAGAGTCACTCTTATAAGGATCTTAGAAAGTCCGAAACATTAACTACTTAATTATGTGGAAAAGTTTATGGAGTCCATTGCAAGTTAGCAACACCTTTTAATATTGCGGCATTGGCTGTTCTATGAGCTTTTAGATCAAGTATAGCAAATGAATTTCCATGGCATGATGAATTTATTGTTTCTTTGAATTCATAACTGTAGCATTCAGTTAAGCATGGCAAAGCAAGTACTCTAGTTGACAAATCAATGAATAGATATGAATGGAGTAATGAGTATCCATAACAACTGCAACTACTAGCGTTTTTCAAACACTAAGTCTAAAATGCCAAAATGCAGTGTCCAGAATGAAATATATGAAAATGATCTGGAATTAACTAAGTAAGAAGAGGTTACATTTTTGTGATTCTTGGTGGTGAGGTTGAGGAGCAATTCACCCATTCCCAGTGAGCAGGAACACAAGGATCGCCTTGTTCATTTGCCCAAGCACTTTCAGCAGACAGAAAGCGAAGGGCATTGAGAACAGTCACTGGCAATTAAAGTTTTAATTATTCATACAGCTAATATTGGTCAAGCACGTTCTTTCTCATACTACTAGGAAAAATTAAGCAAAACATAATGATTTGGAACCCTGCGTACAGATGGTTTTTAGGATTAGTAATAGGCTGAGGTTGTAGGCTTACCATCTTTGCTGTCAGTCTTTGGTTCAATCTTTAGGTATTTACTAATCTCAATCGCATTTAAGAGTGGTCCTAGTGTAGAATCTTGGGTCTTGACAAAAGAGAATGAAAGAACAAAATCCAGAGACACATTCATGTAGCTGGGTTCATAAAGAGTGTAGCTTCCATTGGCATTTTCTGCTATATTTACCACTGCATTGCTGTAGTCAGATAAGTAAGGTTGCTTTAATTTGAATTTCCGAGTCTCATTGGCTCCCAAGTCTTCAATTTCGGCAAAATATGCATAAGCTCGGGCATTTGCAGGGAAATCTTCAAGATTCAATCTATAGCTTAGCATCTCTTCAGTGCCAACAACAGCTGTTTGCATTACTTTAACTGGAGGGTATTCTCTAGTCCTAGTGTCTACGTACTTCGATGTATTGATTTTAACTGTGCCACGGGCCACCCCTACAAGGTAGTTTTGCCTTTTCTCGAGATCTGAACCCCAAATTCTGTCATACGGATCATCCGGGTACCTGAGAGAGGCAAATGTTTTACATTTTGACATCTTTCCATGTTGCACAAGAACTAGATTTAATGGAGGAGTGGAAAGCTAATTAATGAAGTGCTCAATTAATTCCATGTTATCTTTCTGCAACAATTGGAAATCAGCTAACCTTATGGCATCCTTGCTTAAAGCACCAAAATTTACTCTAGCTGCTACCTCTAAGAAGAAATTATCCTCAAAATCAGTGGCATACATTGAAAGGTTGAAGGGTCGCAATTCCAGAGTGGATATGAAGGGAGAACCAGTTGTAGCACAGCATATGCACACATCAATTGAACTTGAAGGAGCCCTTATAATCATTTCCTTAACATACACTCTTGAAGCATCCAATACTACCATAGTCGACCACTTAGTTGTGTCCAAGTAGAGATCAAATTTGGGGTAGGCATCTTCATTTTCCGAACTTCCGTATTGAAAAGTGGCACGGACAAGATACCGCCTTCTCTCTTTGGTACCTAGAGTGTAACAGTACTTGTTGCTGTCTAAAGGAAAGTCTCGCCGTCTTTGATACTGTGTATTTCCATTTGAAACCTGTGCTTCTGATGATTTTCCATACTTCATGATTGTACCGTTGTCTGAAACCCATGCCAGTCCAGTTCTTGGATCAGTGTAATTACTTATGCCTCCACAATCTATACTGATAAATTCTGCATTTTGAAATTGGTTATATTAATTTCTTGGATTTTCATCTATATTACAAACTCCGATTCACAGCACAAAAAGAGAAAGGGATCATCGCCAATCTTTAAGAAATAGATTGCTATTACTGCTATCATCGCAAGAGAATGAAAACATGCTTAAGATCCCAACAAGAATACAAGTTGTTATCTATATCTTTGTGTTACAGCGTAGCTAGCACAGTGTACAAAATGAAAAGAAAATATCCTTAAAATAAACAATAAGGTTGCAGAGTCAAGAAGAACTCACCTGTAACTTGGCATATAACAGAAGATACAAAGAACAGATAAAGAACCAGAAAGTGAGAATACAGAGCCATTAAAGAAAGGGAGACAAAAACTAATCCTATGATCTATTTTTTGTTAGAACTTCAAGTGATTGATGAACCCCATAACTGTTTGTTAAGCTGAGCATCTAACACATCTTTCTTCCACAACCTAGTACTTACTTTTCACCTCTTTTTTTTTTTTAATTGATGAGGTTGTGCAATGTGTGATGTTATGGCCTTCTTTTCTCTTGGGAATCTTCTTTTTCCCAACAAATCAAAAGATTTTAAGTTCTGCTTTATTTCCTTTGTGAAAGAGCGTGACTCAAGCTGAACCTACAGGGTGGAAAAGGAAGCGCCAACTTTTACTACACACGTTTGTTTCTGTTGAAAAACCTTTTAATTTTGTTTTTAGTTTGGATATGTTATAAGAGCTTGAATATGATGTCAAACACAGAGAAATCCGTAGGGTTGTAACGAAGATTTGAAGGGAAAGCTCTGTCTCTCTCTCTCTCTCTCTCCCACACACACACACACACACACACACACACACACACACATCTCACACGCGCACACAACTCTCACACACAAACACACTGCGTGTGAGCGAGAGAGAGAGAGGGAGAAAGAGAGTAGACATTTGGAATTATGAAAGATAAATATTTTTTATTTTTGGAATTAATTTAATTTAATTATTAATTTTTTAAAAATTTAATTATGCATAATATTTCCTGAAGTTATTTTTTTTAATATGACTAAAAGGTTTTATCTTGAATTTTATAAATATTGGTATGTACAGGTGTGTTTTTAAATTTCCACAAATATATTAATTTAAAAAAATATTAATGTTCTTATAAATATCACTTTGATATTAATAAGAATAACTGGAAACAATTTTTTTATTTTTTATAATAAAAATAAATTTATTTTTTTATAAGTATTAAAAAATAAATAAATTTATTTTTTTCCTATGTTTTTCTACAAACTCTTTCTTTATGCTTTTCATAAATAAATAAATTTTTTAAAAAAACTTATAAAAAATATTATTTATAACTTTCAAGGTTTTACTGTATCTTAAATATATTTTTTTTGAATATATATTTATTGTTAACATACATAGTGGGGTAATTAACTCTCTAAAGATAATGATTGTCTCAAAATTTTCTTGTTATATCCAATATTCTGATAGAATATCCATTTAATAAAGATATTTAAGAATGTATTTAATAAAAAAATAATTTTTTTAAAAAATAATTTTTTATATGTTTTTGGATAGTTTTAATATGCTAAAATAAAAAATAATTTTTTTAAAAATAAAATAAAAAAAATATATTATTTTAATATATTTTAAAAAATAACTATTATTATATTCTTAAATTATGATTAACACAATCAAGTTTAGAGTAAAGTGAGCCAAATCCATTTGAGTCAACATCAATGACGTTTTTTATGTAATAAAATGAAATCATTATAATAAGATGTTGACCCATATTGATCCTATAATCCATAGATTGATTCGATACACAATTATTAAGCTTTAAAGGGCCCGTGGGGACTGGGAATCAAATACCAGCCATGCACGGACCAACCCTTGACGAAAGAAAAGGGGATAATGTTCTTACTGTTGAGGAATTTAATAATTTTCTTTACTTTAGCTTTCGCGAAACACAAAATCTGCTTCTTCTTTTTTTGGTCACTTTGGACCAACTTGTCTTTAACTTTACAAATATTTACAAAATACCAGTTTGAAAAATAATGCAGATAAAAAGCGTCTCGGGAAATATGATTATAATTGTTTTTTATTTTAAAATATATTAAAATAATTTTTTATTTAAAAAAATTATTTTTAATATTAATATAATTAAAATAATTAAAAAATATATTAATTTAAATTTTAATTTTTTTTTAAATATTTTTAAAACACAATACCAAATAAAAATATAGTTTATAAGAACACAAAAAAAGTTTTGGGGTGTTTATGAAAAGAGTATCGTAACAATTATTTTTTAAAGTATATTTAAATAATATTTTTTTATTTTTAAAAGTTTTATTTTTAAGAGTAATATATTAAAACTATCCAAAAAAATTAAAAAATAATTTAAAATAAAAGTGTTGTGTATATATATATATATATATATATATATATATATTGCCATCATCAATAATAAAAATAAAAAGTTTCTACGTGGGCTCCCAAATTTAGCCCTCCAGGTTCACAGGGTGGCCAATTTCACCTCAAGAGTTTATTTTGTTTCAATCAGCCCTCATAATTTTGGTTGTAGTTTCAACTCCCACTTCACTTATTTCCATCGGTAATTGAAACGGAAAAAAATAAGTAAATTTGAATTTCATCCTTGAAATTCATGAGATATTATAATATCAACCAAAGTATTAGAGTGAAAAACACAACCAAATAAGAAATAACAAAGAATCCTGCTTTACTTTCCTGGTCTTAAATTTGGTGGAAATACATGCTCATTTCGATATTTTTATCAGTAATTTGGTAAGGAATCCTTGTTTTACTTTCCAGGACTACTGTAATTGCCATCATCTGCCAAGTTGAGGTATGCGGGCTAGAAATTTGTCACAAACAAAGATCATTTGTATTGTTGTGGTTACAAGCCTAGAGGCAATCCTACACGAACAAAGATAAGAGCCGGTGAATTTGAACATGAAACTTCACCTGTGCTTTCTTAATTTGTAATTGAAAAGGGGGGAGGGCATCTCCATTATGTTTCTTACTTTCTTTGTGGGATTGGCTGAGTCACAAAGCTTTTGCCTTTGATCATTTCTTTGGTTTGTGTGTATTCTTCCTGTAACATTCCTTTTCTTTGCCGGTTGTGAAACCGTCTAGGGTTCAATAAAAAGAGGTGAGGTTTGATAGGGGTTTTGTGGTGGGGTTCTGCAGGGCAGCTGGTCTCCCAGGAGATAATGGTGTGAATTGTGTGCAAAATGAAATTGTCATATAGCCCCATTGCCCTTTTCATCTTGTTTTTGGTGGAATGGATGGACTGTGGCTTGTACAGATGCCCTCCCTAGTTATGTAGCCTTCCTCGCAGACTTGTATACAAGGTGGGTTGATGTTCGCTTCAGCTTGTACTCTATCACTCCTTCCAAGTATTTTTCTTGGAGGAGGTAAGAGGGCATAATCAGAGGGTTGTTTTTTGAAAAGCAGCAGAATCCATGGCGTTTAACCTACCTTTTCCAGTACCTGAGACTCGTGCGATTCTGTTTGATTACATGATCTGACTTGTAGAAGCCGAACTTGTGGAACACAACGCTAGCCATTATTGTACATACTAGTGTACGATGGAGAAGTCTGATTTCATCCACATGTGGCTGGTTAGAAAATGACGTTTCAGAGGTAGCTGCATGTGATCGACTAAATTGCTGGAAACCACCCCACGAACTATGAACCAGTTGACTGCAGGTGCTCTGAAAATTCAATAAACATCATCAGCGGCTGCTACAAGATGGAAGGTTAAGCACTTGGAGGTATGTGCGATGATTAATACATGTAAATACTAAATGGTAAGTAATAATAGAAAAGATATGCATGGCATTCAACTCAGCTTTTTGGAACCTGAGAGTGTTGGGGATGCTAAAGTCTAGAAACTTATTTCTCTTGAGAGTACCTAGTCTCGGTTTACTATGCTGTGTCAGTACGGCAAACATCATGGATTCAATACATGATAGTCTCGGTTTACTATGCTGTGTCAGCAAGGGAAACATCATGGATTCAATACATGATACATGACATGTTTGTTACCATCATGAATTTGCTTAAGAAATCAAGGTGTTGCCTCTTTATGTTTTTTATGCGGTTCGACCTGTTGATGACAGCTGAAACTTTTCATAGCTGGTTAATATATAGTAGAAAACTTGATTTAAACTCGTAAATCTATTCTCATCTTTGCACCTCTCGGATAGTAGACTTGTCAAGGAGATGATTGTTCTGCAACTGCTCTTTGAAGAATGTCAGGTGAGAAATTGTACAGGAAAAATAGTAACTAACGATATCTATTTCCAATTCCTTCATGATTTTGATGCGGGTGAATCCCTAGTAGATCCAATATTCACATCCACCAATGAATTTGGAGTGGATGGTTCTAAACGAAGATTAAAAGACCTGAGCTCAATCCAAAGAATCAACAGAACCGAAAATGCCTGTGACAGGACCAGGTTTCAGTTTTAAAATTGCTGAGCGAGCTATGTATCCTGAGAAAGACGTTTGAGTCTAGTTTCCATCGCATCAACAGTGCAGGATTTGGAGCTTTCCACCAAACGTCATGACCAATTTACTCACAAGCGTGCACGCTGCTACAACAAGAATTCAGCAGAACCAAAATCTCTCTGTCATATATTACAACTCGCATGACTGCCTCTTAGTCAACAAACATTCAGTGGAGCTTGGACAATCCTCCTCCCAGCTCACTTGCATGTCAGTAGCTTTACTTGTCAATAAAGACAGCAACGTGGGCTATAACTAGAGGGAGGTCCGCATGGAGACATACGCCTAAATGATAGATATATAGTTGAAAATTCCCTTCAACTAAGCGCTGAGTTATGCTTGTTTACTAAGCTGTCGACTACCTCTGGCGGATTCGATTGAGTCTTGAACTAGCAGAACTCTAATCTTCAAGAGGCTGCTTCTGTATCCTTATAGTGGCGAGCTTTATCCCTGTTCATTGCACCTTCTAAGTACTGGATTTTATTATCATTAATCGAACTTGATCAACAACTTCATTGCACCTTCAAGATAACTCCTGCCTTCCTGCGATGATGGGGTTGTCGGCTTGGTCAAAGCCAACAGGGAGTCTGGGCCGTCTGGCCCGGTCATCATAGCGCAACCTGTCTGGCGCGTCTGAAATCAACTCTGGTAGGTCGGGCATCACCCTCCAGTTCTCGTTTCTTCGAGCTAAAAGACAGGAGCCAAATGGACCCATTCCATCGACCTCACACAAGCCGTGGGCCAGGCAAGAACCTGTCAGGTAAACTGATATGAGTCGATTGAAATTTCGAGTTAAAAAAACTTGAAAGGAGTTATTTTTATTTTTTTAAAGACTCTGCTTTTTTTTTTTCCTAGCATAACTTTGATAAGATATTCTTCGATAAATTACTGAATTGACTTATTAAATTGTGTTAGGTTTAATAATATTGCACAAAACTTAATACCAGAAAATAAATCATTATATTAAATTTTAAATTTACTTAATCTTTTTATAAATTCTTTTTTACAGGACCTAAGTCTACTTATATAGTAGCAGAGCCATTGAGGGGTAAAAAGAGGCAATTGTCCCCTTAATTTTTTTTTTAATATTAATATATTAGTTTAGGAAATTGTTGCTACAGGAAAATGAAAAAGAGAAATTGTTATTGTTTATACTTGTTAACTTATACATTAATATAATATAATATAATATATATACACAATTCATTCAATAATTTTTTTTCCTTTTGATATAATATAATATAATATATATGCACAACCCATTCATAATTTTTTTCTCTTTTTCCTTTTATTTCTATATCAAATCAAT